TTTTTTTCCCATAGGAAAAAGAATCTATTGTTCCTGCCATCAACATGGCTGCCGTGCAAAACCTCTATAGCATACAAGTTGTTGTTTTGCATTCTTGTCAAACAACAATCAAAATCTCGTTATTCTATCACAAGCACTCAGTGATAAGGAACCTATTCCTCTATCAACGAACATGCTCAGCAGTAGACATATTTACTGGGGCTTGTTCAAAACATGAAATGGCAAAATGGCTAAATGGGACTGCAGTTAACTTACATAGTGCTCTGGTTAGCCTGAATATCACTGACTTGACAATGGTTAGCTCACAGTAATGGTAAGTGTTACCCTTACAAACACCCGTTTCCCACATTGTCCCTTACTTGTAGTGCCATTTTTGTGTTTTAAACATGCCCCATTTACTGAGTTTTAAAAAGAAAAGGAGTTCCTTCAGGGGGGAGGGAGGGAGGGAGGGTGAGAGGTTATTGACTCATCTTGGGGCTAATCAACTTTAGGTTGGGGGCTAACCGACCTTCATTTCCTTAGTCGTATAGGCTTAGGAGCTCTGGGTTAGCCAGTATGCAGATCTCTGTTTTTCTTTTTTTCCACCCAGGCCATAGAGAGGAGGGGGCGGTGATGGTAGTGTTAACACCGTATCAGGGAGGGGTGGTAAAAACATATTACGTAAGAACATTGATTTCAAAGGAAGACTCGACACCTACATGCATTCCTTGAGTTTAAAACCTTCTTTAAACGTTCTTAAATAAAAGGATACGGAAGCACTTGTCCAAAAACGCTTTGTTGTCATATTCACTGAGGCAAACCGAACACGTCAGATCTTTTGGACTTGATCTTCCCGTGTGTTGCTCGTGGCCTTTTTCCAGCGTTTCAGTGCCTTTCTGTCCTTTAACGTCGATGATTTGCACATCGTCATCACTGCTAAGTTCCACTACCTCCTGAGAAATACTTCTCGTGTGCGATTCCGGCTGTGTAGATCGCGGAGAATTCGAATCGCTGTCATATTCGACCAGCTGAGTTTTGGAAGGCTTCTTTGTGGAAGCTTCAATTGTGCCAACGTCGTTTTTAGTTTCCGGTAAATCGTTCAATTTACCCTCCATATCCATTGGTAACAGAATATCTTATTGACAAGATTTGATAATCCATAGAGGAAACTACACTACATAGTATACATTGTATATAGAAGCTCTGATCACTGTAATCTTGCGTCTAAACGATCAATGGAAACGCTGACTAACGTTGGTCAGCGGGATATATTTGAACAAACTTCGGGTCATTTAACGTGCTGGATCTGACCTGTTTCCAGCGGAGCACGACCTCCTCAACTATGAACAGAATTCGAGGCTATTTGCCATGGACTGCCAAATTAAAAACGTCCTTCGAATCGTTCGATTTCAAGGTCAGATCAATGCACAATCTCGACCAGGTGGAAGAGGTTTCAACTTGCGAAAGGTTGGAAAGCAAATCGAGCACGGCAGGGGTTTTTTTGCAGGGTGCAGGGTGCAGGATGCAGGTTGCAGGTTGAAATTTAATTATAACTGGAAAACCGCTAGCATTTAAAAGAAACGTACAGGTGGTAGACTTACCGTGACTGTTACATGATGCCGTTTACAATCGCTCAGAAAGGTGGCTTCCACCCAAGTGCCAAACCCGCCGAAGCGATGGGCGGAGAGTATATTCCTATGATTTTAAGCGTGCAATGAATTATTGTTTTCGAAGAAACATCTGAAATATCATCTGAAACATCTGCTGAATTTGGTTTCTTCCCTGTGAGTACCAAAATGAAAGCACACAGTCTGAGCATGTGCTAGTATATTCCGACGGTTAAAATCTTATATTATTTCATTTCTTCATTTATTTGCTTCATTTGTGATGGCAATCTTCTGTTGTT